CCTTTCCACTGAAATAAACGTTGAACCAAGAATATTGTTTTGAAGGGGACCATATTACTAGCCTGAATGGAGAACCAAATTATTAGCCTATTCAAGGCATCCACATGTTTATCAGCCCCTTGTATTATCAAATTGAGTAAAAATAAGTCTAACAGCAACCAGAAACAGGACAGTCCAATTACTTCTCCCTCTCTGATAGTCTCAAGTGATCCAAGGGTACAATTAGACTATCAGCCTATCCTTCAAGCAGCCATCCAAGGATATTATTTCCCTTAACTGCTAAGAATAGGGCAGCAAGGAGTTTGGAGCTACATTTTTTGGTGAATGAATATACTTTGTGCTGCTGATCATGGATAGATCCACGTGCCTGATACTCGAGTCATTTGAGAGGGGGGCAGGGTTGACATTTTCTTGTTAACAGTAAGAAACCTAACCAGGACCAACCAACCACAGCTACCAAGAGATGGGTCAAGGGAGTCTTTGTGAACAGTGCTAACATTTTGTCTAGGAAACAGTTCTGGGCCTAATTCTACAAGAGTAATTGAAGCTTAAAATTCATCATCATTAGGGGGCTGCAAACATTTTAACATAAAAAGATTTCAAACCCAGAGTTAGGAATCATCTACCCTAGTTAAACAGTGGACAATTATCCACAAATTAATTTTAATCACTGTAACTTCCTGGGGAGTTTCGAATATAAACTGACTGCTTTTCTTTCTGTCTCTTCCAAAGGCTTATATTGGCTTCTGGATCTTCTTAATTATCCATTCTCTCTAAGTAAGTGTTCTGTCCTTGGATCCCTTAACTCTACAAACTGGGGAGATCTCATTCATACTCACTGCCCTACTTCATCCGCCATTTGTTTGGTAATGATACCCAATCTGTATCTCTAGACTGTCATTTCTTTGGAGTAATAGCCCTGTATTACCAGTATATTCATGGATCTCTATACTGAATGTCTCTTAGATGCCTTAATGTTACAAATAGGATTCATTCGTTCTTTCTTTTCTTTTTTTTTTTTTTTTTGCTGAGGAAGATTCACCCCGAGCTAACATCTATTGCCAATCTTCCTCTTTTTGCTTGAGGAAGAGTCGCCCTGAGCTAACATCTGTGCCAATCTTCCTCCGTTTTGTATGTGAATCGCCACCATAGCACGGCCACTAACAAGTGGTGCAGGTCCATGCCTGGGATCTGAACCGGAGAACCGGGGCTGCTGAAGTAGAGCATGCTGAACTTAACCACTAGGTCACGGGGCCAGCCCCTCTAACAGTTAACTTTTTCAACTCAGTAATACATGTATAAGGTTCAAAACCAAGAAGTTACAAAAGGATACACAGGGAAAAAAGTCTGCCCCTTGCACCTGACTCTTAGTCAGCCAGTTTCCCTTCCCAAAGGTACCCATAGCTATCAATTTATTTGGTAAAGAATGCATTTCTAAAATGCATCTACTTCACATCCTCCCATGGCTCATCACTCTCTCTAAGATAATGTCCCTGAGAAGCACATATGAGGCCTTCCAGGATTTAGTCCTGTTTCTCTCTTGTTTCTTCTAACAAGTCCCTCTGTACGTTCAGATTTCATCCCCTGTAACCACTTGCTCTTCCCTGAAAAGCCTATAGCTGTGATTCTGCATATGCTCCTTCCTCACCCAGGATGCTTTCCCCAAATTCCTCTATCCCTCATGCCACCCTTTTTGAGTAGAAAACACCATCTCTTAACACTCCCTTAAATATATTCAAGTTCAAGCCTTTGCGGACCCCCACAGATAAAGGTTATGCCCTCCTCTCATGATGCCCTTTGAGGACCATATATATGTTTTTGTTACAGCACCTATCACATTACTTTGCCACTCGAAGGAAGATACTGTGTTCTGTTGTTTTCTGAGTCCTCAGAGTCCAGCAAACTGCCTAATACCTACTTAGTTGTTTAATAAATATTGAATATTAGTTACAATGTAACTACAACTAAGCTAAGGATATATTAGGCTGCATTGATAGCACCATAGTACTTAGAGTTTTTAGTTCTGGCCACCATATTTAGAGATAGATATTGAGGAAGTATACTATCCACCTGACAGCGTAGGGTCTACTAACACTATGACAGCCTTAACAAGAAAAGACTAAGAGGCCCACAGCTCTCTTAGAATCTCTGAAGAGCTACAGAGGAAGCAGCTCACAACTAACTCCCGAGCTCCTCCAGGAGACCAGAGGTTCTCCACCACGATATTGGGTCATCCTGGTATGTCTTCATCAGCGCTGAGATGTATTGTAACGTATTTGTACTAATAAAAGCCGAAGTACTGAAGTTTTAAAACAATTTACTTTTAGCCCCCCTCTTAAACTAGAGTGGATTCAAGGTTACTTCTGTGAAGTCACTCCTCCCCACTTAAATTCCAATATACTTTGCTGAGATAGGGGTAGAGTTACAACTGATGGGTCTGGAAACTGGGTGTAAGCCACAGGTTACCTTATCTTCACTTCTACCCTGGAACAATGTTGAGCATCTGAATATTATCTATCCTGGGGGATAGGATGGGGAACGGGCATACAGAGAACTGCTATCCTAGCCTATGAGCTCCTCCAGGGTAGGGCCCATGAGTTCTCATTTTGTATCTATCCACAGTGTCTGGCAGTTAATAAATGCTTGAAGAAAGAAAGGAGTGAAGGTTTGGGGATGGATCAATGGGAGAATGAAGGAAAGAGAGAGTGGAAGAAAATGTGACAAAAACTTTTAATAAGAGATGAAGGAAAGAAAAAGCAAAGGAATAAAGGAGGCTTACTATTTACTTTCTTAGACACTGTTAATTGAATTCAATTTTTAACTCAACTTAAGGAAAAAAATAAATAAAAGCTGCTTAAACAGAGACTATGGAAGACTGGATAAGATGACCTCTAAGTTCCTACTCAATTCTTTGGTCTATGATTCTAGGTTTTATTTCCACAACAATGCTTTTGAGTGAATAGTGGCATTTAATGAATATTTATTAAATAAAATTATAATCTAAAATAACACCAACACAGAAACAAACTGATGCTTCTGCTAAAAAAAGTTTATATTACTTTCTTAATTGGGTCTTCATAGTTTCACGAAGAGATTGGCAACGGGTTTGCAAAATTCAGCTTCAGTTTGCCCCCCTGTAAGATGCTCTGTGGCTTAACTGGCAGGGTATAGAGCTGAGGTACCTTGTGATTTTTTTCTTTTAGGTTAAAAGAAATAACAGAACCTTTCTAGGCTAAATTCTAGACATGATGCAAATTTAAAGTAATTTACGGTGCTATTTCTGAGGGGAAAAATTAGTTTTTTTTTCCCCCTAAGAGAATCCAGAGAGCTATTTCTGAGCTGCAGAGACTCACAAGGCAAACAAGTAAAGGTCAAGAAACCAGGGAGCAAAAATTACAACATCAACCACTGCCTGCCTCCCAAACATCTTGGTAATCACAGATTTCTTAACTTTTTGGCCCTTCAAAATATGTGCAGTCCATACTGCGGCAGGAACTGATTATTCATCCAAGGCTAGCTGTGACTCTTCTCTGCTTATCTGATGTAAGTCTAAGCTCAAAGCCTTTTGCTTGCCCTGCAGTACCTCACTTGGAAAAAAGCAGTGCTTAATGCATGTTATTTTGATTTCATAAACAGAAAGTATGTAAAAATCAGGAGAGTTGGGGAGCTTTCATTGGGAAGAAAAAAGATAACATTTTTATTCTTTTTTTTAAATATTATTTTCACGAAGAGTCCAACTCTTTGTTCATTGACTCTGGCCCAAAGGCTATGACACTGCAAAACTGAGATCATATAAACTGGTTTTTTTGGCCACTTGATTTTGCCCACGTTAGAGGAACATAACTGACTGACAAACTCACTTAAAAATTCTATTACAAATAAGCATACTTTCTCCGCTTCCACTGTGATATGACATGATCCCATTTCTACAGATAATAGCTAAATCTTACTCACTGCAACTACAATAAATATTTGTCGATTGATTTCGCTGATGCAACTGTAAGCCTCGTTTTCAGTTCCAAGTCTACATTTTACCGATAATCTAAAAGTATTAATTCCTATACATCAAAATGTCTGGGCAACATCCCACTTTCTGAACACATACATTCACACACATCCCCAACCTGCTCCTTCCAACAGAGCTTGCTTTGGCTTGCTTCGGGGAGGAAACTTCAGGAGAGCATCTAGCAAGAGGACAGACCGACGACGCTACTTGAGCTGCGGAGGTGCCCAGTACAACTCCCTGGCTCAAAGTAAAAAAAAGAGTGGCGGCGGCGGCGGCGGCGGCGGCGGCGGCGGCGGCGGCGGGTGGGGGGGAGGGGGCACTCCATCAAAGATCCAAGTGACAACTCTCGATGACTTCCAGATTCCATCCGAACGGGACGACTGAAAAGGTTAGAAAACAGTGGCAGGGCGTTGTCCCCTGCCATGTTTCAATTCCCGCTGCACTAGTAACAAGCCACACATCTGCCCTACCCGAGTGGGCTTCTCCAGTGCTCACTCGACCCTCGGAATCACAGGGAGAGCGGTCTCCTCGACCCAGGAGTCAGAATCAAGGGAGACCCCTGCGGGCAGAGACTCCGCTAAGAGGGAGGAGCCGAGGGGCTGCCGCCCTTCGCCACCCAGGAAGACCCCTCCCGCGCAAAGGTGGGCGGGCGCCCGGGGCCGAAGGGATGCCCGGCGAGGAAGGGGGTGCCCGCGCCCCTCGCAGCGGCCCCTCCCCGGCCCGCCAGGGGGAGCG